TGAGAGCGCCAACCCGCTCGTTGATGGACTGTAGGCGAAGGCCGTTTGATTACTGTCTGCTTTCAATGTCAGTGAGGATATAGTGATAAAAGTGAAGGATTATTGTACAGTTTGAGCAGTCAAGGCCTTGGATTCCAGAAGGGCAATATGCACTTGTTGGCTTGCCGACGTAGAAATGGTTGCCGTTAGCGTTGATGCTTGATGCTTGAATTGGGCTGCCAGAATGGAGTGAAACGGCCTCGAAAATGTTGGAGTCAGTGGATCGAGGAGCTGGAGCAGCAGTTGCCAATAGGCTAGCAGCAAGGGTTGAGATAAGAGAGACTTTGGTATACATGATTTGGGAGTGAAATTGGTGACTGCGTTATGCGATATTTTCTGTGAGGCTTGCTTTTTCAAAGATAGGTGTGTGTGTTACTGTTCTGATGATGGAGATTGTGAGAGGTATTAGCATTTGTTTATATATTCGGAGAAGGCTACAGTTGTACGAAACTGCCCGGTACAAGCGATGGATCTATGATGGTTGTGGAAAGAGATGAACATGAACTCGTATTGCTCGTGGTACAGAATTTTGTCCGTCAAACACCGGTATAGTTCATCAGCTTTCATAGAATAGACTCTTGGCATGACAAATGGAATGTGGATACTCGTCCCAAGGTGTCCGAACCCTTTGCTCAAAGTTATCCGAGGTAACGGGAGATGTGCTAAAACCAGAATAGCTTCTCCTACAGTGCAGAGGTAGGCCTGTACATTGAAATTAACTTAGGATATGCAAACATGTTTTACATACACTAATTCTCACAAAGGACAAGCTAGGAAAAGAGACGCCACCCGGAGAAGTTTAACGTTTACCTGAGGTCATATGCCGGCACTAACGTAATAACTCTATTCTAGAGGCATTAAATTGCTCAGCCTTAAGCTTGCTACTGCCGTTCTCCCGAAGGCCACAAGTTTTAGCTCTCGAGCCATACCTAACGAAGGTGGGAAAGCGAACTTTTACCAAGTTTAACATCGCATTGCCACCTTGCATTAGGCATTCGATCACTCGTGTTGCTAATTCGAACTCGCGTTTTTTGATACCCATCGCTCACGACACCTGTGGAGCCGGTAGATTGTACCGGGAAAGACATCCGAGAATTGAGCCTCCATCTGCACGTGAATTCACCGATGACAGAAGACCCGTTGCCATGCATGGAGATTATGTAAACAGCATCAATGTCAACATCCTTCCAAGTTGTATTCTTAATGGTGAAAAGTATACAGATGAGTATATTTATGCCTGCATAGTGGAGATCGCCCCATTCCAGCAAACGGTTAAGGATATGTCAGCTTAAACTATTGATGGCCAAGAATACAAGATGAACATTATGAAGCAGAGAAAGAAAATATTCTGGAGACGCTAATCTCAGCATACTGATGGAGAAAGAAGTAAAGTAAATCACAGCGGCACTCACTCGAATCTGATCAGCGTTGTGGCAGAACATGCTCCGATTTTCTATTGAAGTGTCCTACAACATTACTCTCCACGAATTTTTATCCAGCACTTGGGAAAGCGTTCAGTGGAAGCCAAATATGCGACTTGTCTATGTCTTCCGCAATTATTGGAAATCAGTATGATCCACAACGGCGGTTACGGGTATAGCAATTGAAGGCCAAATGGTCAAAAGAGGTGCAAAGCTCACAACCCAAATGGCCAAGCCCCATTATTCTCCAGGAACGCCAAAACGAAATGCTGACTACCATGACCAAGAAAACGCGATGTTTACTCCCAGAAAAGAGCACTAATCGACTCCCCGTGATGGACGCGACGTATTGCCTCTGCAAAGACCGTTCCAACTTCAAGAACTTCTAGCTTGGGGCACAACCTTTTGTGGTCGTCTTGGGGAACACTGTTGGTCACGATGACTTTGTCTAAAGCGGAAGCATTGATCCGGGCAATAGCATCACCGCTGAATACACCATGCGTGAGCAAGGCATACACTTTCGTGGCACCCTCCTTTTTCAAGAGTTTTGCAGCTCTTGTGATAGTGTTCGAAGTGTCTGCTAAATCATCCACAAGTATGGTGACTTTGTTGGCAACTTCTCCCACCAGCATCATAGTAGCATTTTGCCGATCCGTAATACGGGTAGGTCGACGTTCCTAAATGATATGAGTTTGCGCACAAGTAGGGCCATGGAAAGTATTACCTTGTGAATCAACGCGAAGTCCATGTTGAGATCATCTGCGATAGCAGTTGCCCTCTTCGCACCGCCAGCATCCGGGCTGACAATGACCGCATCCCTGAAATCCGGAATCTTCGTTTGGATATATCTCTTCAACAATGCCTTGCCGTATAGATTGTCCACTGGGATATCAAAAAAGCCCTGGTATTGAGGGTCATGCAAGTCCATTGTGATGATATGATCCGCGCCCGCGCAGGTCAAGAGGTCAGCTACAAGCGTTCCAGCTTGAGCAACCCATTGCTTGTATCCTGGCTTGGCCTGGAACATACTCTTCACTTCCTTTAACATCGTGGGGTTTTCATAATCGTGAGTGGTAAATGGTGGTGCCGTAGTAGAGCTAGAAGAACTACCACGACCTCGGCCGTTGACCGACGATGTGGAGTCCAATGTATCTGATCGCCGTGGTGGTGTGATGCCATTTGTATAAGACACGCCATTCTGTTGCTCTAGACTGGCCTTGCCCAACTTTTTCTGTAGCCCTTCCATACCATTCCCAAAACCATTTGTGAGACCTTGCGTTTGGGGTTGACCTGCGCCTGGAGTTGGGGGCCGGCTTTCGAAGGTGAAGTCTCCTCTATTCACATCGGTAGGGGCCTTTGACAAGGGCGCTCCAATCTTGTTGTATGGCAAGTCGGGTTGGCGAGAGTAGGGGAACAAAGGAAGAACAGCTGTGACACGCTTTGCAGATCCAGTCTTGCAGGCTGATATCATGATACAAAGATCAATGAAATTGTCGTTGACCTTACCACCTCCAGACTGTATGATGTAGACATCTTTTCCACGCACGGAGTCCTTGATCTCAAGGCGGCTTTCTCCGACGGAAAATTTTGAGAGAATTCGATTGCAAGGCGGTACGCCGAGGATGTTGGAGATTGTGTCCACGAGTTGAGGATGGGAGTTGCCTCCAAGAACGACTATGTTGCGAACCATATCGAATTGTAGGTGGAGATTGTGTTTTGAGGTTGTAGATGGAGATTGTCGGTGGAATGCGGGATTTCGAAAGAGTGGGCTGCACTGGCGCGGCAAAGTCGAATGAGATATGTCTTTATTTCAGGATAGATTTGGGAGCGGAGAAGAACAGAAGTAAATGCCGGGTCAGGACGAGAGAAGGGAGACACGAAGTTTGTGGAGTTTGCAACCCATTTGAGGTGACGGTCAGAATACTCCTGCAAAATTTATGTCGTGCGAGCAAGGTTAGGAAAAGCTCTTGAAAGAAAGGCTCGAGCTCGGGCCTTTCTTAACTCAATTTGGCTTAGCCGATGTGGGGCATCCATGCGAGGCTGCAAGTTCTGGCGGTCCACCATGGCAGAATTAAATTGTAATGGCTTTTCCTGATGCAACTCCAGCATATCACAGCACGTTGCTTTCGACAGCGGACCCTGTACGAAAGTGGCACAGCCTTAATTCGACTTCCCCTGGATCTTTATGAGCTGTCGGAGGTGAAACCGCTCCATTTCTATCACAGCCAGCTTGTTGCGAGGCCTCGTAAGGCAATTATGAATCACCGATAAACCACTGCTATACTAAGTGAAACAGGAGACAATCGGAAATATGAAGGTCTTAGAAGCTCAGTCCGCCACGTTAACCAATTATGAAGTCTATCAACATTTGATTGAGCAAAGATCGAGATATTCAAGCACGAAAGGAAGACGTCCTGGAAACCTTGAGACCGTAGTCAAGGAGGCAAGCGCAATCGAAATCACCATGTTTGCTTTTGTACTAACGATAGGAATTCACAGCTCCTGGACTACTTTCATGAGGCTCCTTCCCCACTAGCATCCAAACCATTTCCATACCACGACGGCATTTTCAAAACACTCCTCGAGCGATTGCGTCCCTGGGACTTCACTAAAGCTGAGATCCTCATGATCATGAATTTAAGACCAACGAAGCCAGAAAACTTGAATACAATTGTGGAGGAGATGGAGGAGAGATTTCCAGGCGACGACCTTCAGTTGCAGATCGTAGCTGTTATTGCAGAAGTCTTGGGCAAACCAGATGGAGAAGCCGAGAGGCAAGCTATGACCCATGAGGCCAAGGAAGCTAGGAAAGAGCAAGCAGACAAACAAGATGGTATGGAGGTGGATGAGTGAAGGTGTTGTTATTCTGGATCTGATACCAGTTATGTTTGGCGTTTATGTGGAGCATTTCTTGGCGTTTGTACTTATTGGGAGCCTTTGTTGTTCGCCATGTATGATTGTTGCTCTGTCCATATTTATGCTTTGCAATTCCTCCCTTGCATTTACTGCCCTGTCCTCAGATTTTTGTGAATTGTTGTATGCCGGCTTAGTATGAGAATGATACTAATTTGATGTTGACTGATTTTTGTTCTTGAGAGGGCACCAAACATCTTCCAAATGCCTCTAGCATCAAGAGCCAGCCTTGCCTGATGCTCATGTTCTTCTCCTCTGTTTGCTTATTCTTTGCTCACACACTTATACGTGGACTATTGCAATGTCTAGGCACGAGAGGTCATAGGCTTTTGTTGGTTTTCTGCCACATAGTGAATCCAAAGTTCATTCAAGATGTTCTCATATGCAATAATTTCGGTTAAACCACGGATCAGTGCTTCTTTAGTGAGCTCTCTGCTGTCTAATAATCCTTAGTTGACCTATCACCGGGCAAGAAATTTGCTACTCGGCACAAGTCTCGTTTAATAGTGCCAAGGAAAGCCGAGAGGATATACAAAAAAGGAAAAAAGAACCTCAATTTCCTCCATCATAGCTGTTAGAGGAGGTTCAAGAGGGGGAAAAAAAAGGGAAAAAAGGAGAAAAAATAAGTGTCCTCAGAAGGAATCGAACCTTCGTCTTCGCCAATGCAACCCAAGAAACTCCGAAACGCCGAAGCAAGAAGAAGCAACCCGAGATAACTATGCTAAGAAAGCATAATGCGGACGATATCCTTACCACTAGACGATGTGGACATTTGTTTGATTGGTAGAGGAAAAGTTTCGTATTTACCGTTATACGGTCGTTTGGGGGAGAAAGCGGAAGCGAGGTTTGGCCGGCTTCCGAGACTTAGGGGAAAGGGGGTTGGAAGGAGAGGATGCATCCAGCAATTGATGGCCATAGCACGTGCAAGAACGATGAGTTGTCAAAATCCTGTCTAACGAGCAGATGGCTGAGACACGCCCTTCCTTCATTGTCCCAGGACTTTTCATTGTCCAACGACTTTTCATTGTCCCAGGATTCGACAGTTATTAGAAGTCTTGATTGGGGTCAAAGAGGTGTTGGCATTTTGTACTACATGTTATATGTTACATGTTACCAACACTTAGGGAGAGCAATGTAACTAGAAAGAGGTGCGTATGTCATTTATAATCACCAAATGTGCAATAAAAGATCCAGATCTAGGACAAATTTGATCTCTGTGAGAATTCTAATTGCTCCTTAGATATGCTACTTAAACATGTTGTTGGTATTCCCATTTTGTGCTAAACGCCAGTAAATGCCAATAATCCTCCAACGCCAGAAGCACACCACCTGGGAATCACTTTTCTGATGCCAGGACCATTTTCTCTCTTTCTGGCCGCCTTTTCTGGAATTGCTTCCTGGTATGCTTGCGTTCGTTCTCCTGTCTGCGCTTAATAGCCTTAAGTTCCTCACTCTTGATCTCTCCAGCTTTCTTGATAACCTTTGGAATATGTCTGTGACGCTTGATACGCCTTATCTCAGGCATATGTGCGTATCTTTCGGCAAGGGCTTCATTATATTCTAAAGATTGTCGCTGTTTTGCTGACTTGACCCCTTCTCGTTTCGAGGAGTTGCCTACCATCTTGTTAGTATAGTAAAAAGTCAATTCTGAACAGAGACCACTAGAGCTGTGAGCTGTCTGGGGAGCTGGGAACAAGGAAAAACGGCTATGACGGCTCCAGGGACAACTCCCCTCTTAGAAGCTCTTAGAGAAGGATATAGCAAATCAGTATGAAAATAAGATATACCTCTCCATAGCCGGATATTGCCATCATCTGACCCCGACAAAATATAACGCCCATCCGGCGTCCACATCGTGCTGAAAACTCTTTGCATTCGTTTCGTATGATAGACGTCCCGACTGTGACCCTTATTTCTCTCGAATATCCGGATCGTCCTGTCATAGCTTGCTGATACTAACTCCTCTCCTGTTGGGGAGAATTCAACATCCATGACCGCGGCTACATGGTCCTTTTGCACATTTATTGCTCGCTCCATTTTCCTCATATCGAAATGGTAGATATTATGATCTAGTAGTATTATTAGCATGGATTTTTTTCCTCTACCCAAAGAACATACCTTCGTTTGCACAAGCAAAGTTAAAAGGTTCCATAGGGTTCCAAGAAATTGCGTTAGAGGCAAAATTGAGGATCGTCTTAGCCAATGGCATGGATGTTCGCAAGTCGTACAACACTATAGACCGATCTGTTGCACATGATGCCAATACCGAAGTTTCTGACTGATTAAAGGCGACTGCCGTGATAGTATCTGTGGAAGTCGGCCAGTGCAGAACTTCTGGCGGCGCAGTATGTCTCTCCAGGTCATATATTGAGATCACGCTAGACGAAGCAGCAAATGATGCCTTCGTCCGGTGGTGTGAAAGGCTTGTGAAGGCATTTGTTCCAAGGAAAGTCGCAGCTGGAGCAGATCCAGATGGCGTATTGTACGGGTCGAAGATCTTGATGGATCTATCGCTAGCGCAAGTCAAGAGTTTCTGGTCTGGAGTCCACACAATCCCTTTGACGATATTTTCGTGGGCTGAGGTATTCCAAATCTCATCTCTCGTAGTCAGATTCCAGACTTTGACCACTCCGTCGCCGCTTCCACTGGCAAAATCTTTCAGAGAATTGGGATTTTTTGCCATTTTGTAGATCCCATCGACATGGCCCCTTCCAAAGTCAGCGATAAAGGGCGCAGCAAACATTCGCTCCATCTTGGTCGCATTGAGCGCTCTGGTATATTCGCGGGCTCGCTCAAAAGGATGTAACGCCGGATCCAGATTGCGGGCAGTTTTCTGCACATCGGATCCAGATGCCTGCGCAAAGGACGATGGCCGCGATAGGGCTTTGATTTTCTGTACGAAATTATTAGTATCAATATTTGATAGCCACAGAAATTTCAATATACCATTGTGAGATTTAATTGTTTGAATCCAATGAAAAATAAGAGTCCAAGTGTTGGTTGTCATACATGCGTATTTTGAATTCGAGGCTGGCAAAAAATATACTCGCGGCAAGACTTAAAATGCAGACCGCCTTTGATAGCAGGGGCAAAATGATCTGTTTGGGGGCAGAAATAGGCGGTGTGCGTTTTCGTCCCTAGCGTGATAACGGCCGCGTTGGAGCTTTCCGCCTTGTAGCAAGCATTGAGCTCAACTCCCTTCACAAACACTCACAGTAACCTCCATACCCATCAAGATGGCACCAGCAGACTCAGCGCGGATACAGGAGGCAAAGAAACTCACGAAGTCAAACCCGAGGGAAGCAGAAGAAAAATATAAGGAAATTATCTCGAAGCCGCCATCAGCAACTTCGGACGCCGCTGTGCGAGAGTATGAGACTGCTTTGGTCAGTTTAGGAGAGCTGTATCGGGATCAAAAGTGGGAAGACCCATCAAAAATAATCTTCATATTGTTTCTAATATCAAGCAGGAAGGCCAATGAGTTGGTAGATCTTATTACAACGAGTCGGACTGTGTTGTCTTCTTTTGCGAAAGCAAAGACCGCGAAGCTAGGTACGCTGAGCATGTCTGAATGACCTGAGCAATTTCAAAAGGATAATCGATTTGCTGTATACTGACACTTTGGTTTCTAGTGCGACAGCTTCTTGACCTCTTCCATGGCATCCCCAACTCAACCGATACCCAAATCTCCGTTACGAAGTCATGCATCGAATGGGCTACTTCCGAGCGACGAGGCTTCCTGCGGCAGAACCTCGAAACTCGACTTGTCCAACTTTACATGGTTAAAGCCTCCTACTACGATGCTCTCACTCTCATCAATGGCCTGCTGAAAGAGCTGAAGCGTCTCGATGACAAGCTCGTGCTTGTAGAAGTTCAACTTCTCGAGTCGCGTGTCTATCATGCTCTGGGAAACGTAGCTAAAGGTCGTGCCGCACTTACCAGCGCCCGAACCTCAGCCGCATCAGTTTACACTCCTCCGCTTCTGCAGGCGGGGCTGGACATGCAATCCGGCAAGCTGCATGCGGAGGACAAGGACTTCAACACCGCGTTCTCTTACTTTATCGAAGCTCTAGATGGCTATCACTCTCAAGACGAGCCCGAAAAAGCCACCGCTGCACTCCAATATATGCTCCTTTGCAAGATTATGCTCAACCTCGCCGACGACGTCAACCAATTAATGACTTCAAAGCAAGCAGTCAAGTACGCAGGCAAGAACCTCGAAGCCATGAAGGCTGTCGCCCGAGCCCACTCCAACCGCTCCCTAGAGGAATATGAGAAAGCTCTTAGTGATTACCGCCACGAACTGGGTAGCGACCCCTTCATCCGCAATCATCTCCGACGCTTGTACGACGCGATGTTGGAGCAGAATCTTATCAAAGTAATAGAGCCCTTCTCCCGTGTTGAGATTCACCACATTGCCAAGATGGTAGGACTCGATACTCAACAGGTGGAGCGGAAATTGAGCCAAATGATCCTCGATAAGGTTATTATTGGGGTCCTGGATCAAGGAGCGGGGTGTTTGATTATCTTTGATGAGACTGAGAGAGATGAGGGCTATGATTCAGCCTTGGCAACGATCGAGAAGTTGAGTAGTGTGGTGGATGTTCTGTATACTAATCAAGCGAGTATGCTTGAATAGATGGGCGTGATGGGAGGTGGAGATTAGGCGAGATGAGAGCATGACATGCAAGCATATGCACTGTATCATAATGGCGTAGGTTGTAGAGGAAATAAAAACATGCTTTCAATAGAACAAACAGATCAGTCATAGCTTTCGCAGTCATTGGCACATTCGGATGTAATAAATGTATGTCGAGTTATTTGAAATTGGTGCCCTGGCTAATCCAAAAAAGAAAGCCTTCAAACTCCTTGCTTCCCTAAACCTTCGCCATATCTACAAACTGACCATTGCTCTACGATACCCAACAATCCATAATCCTACCCTATTCTTACCTATACATCTGCTTCCCACACCCCCGCTACGTCCTACCCCGCCTTTTACGACCTAGGATACGCTTAACTCAACACTTTACCGCCTGAGCTACTTCTCTCAAAGCTCTCTTCTCCTCACCAACAACCAAACTAAAGACCCTCATAGCAACGACCTTTTCCTCCCACCCAGGTACCATTCCTCGAAACTCATCTACGACTTCTAAATGCCACTGCTCCAATACTAGTTTCTCCCCTTGACTCGAAACCGTCTTTCCAAGTAACCTAGATATCACTCTTGTGCTATTTCTCCTCCTTTTCTCTTTGCCTCGGCTGCCGTCAGACAAAGGAGACGAGTCCTGGTTCTCTGTTTTCCATTGCTGGAGGATAGAGTCTAGGAGACGCCAATGGTCTTTTGACCAGGTTGTTGATGAAAGAGGAGCGGTTGGTGATGTTGGTATGGGAGAAGATGAGACGAATGCTACTGCTTTGCTGGGACTAGTGTTCTCGGAACTGCCTGCATTTGCTGAGGGTGTTTTCATTGGTGAGCGTAAGCAGGATTTAGTCGGAGATGTGGTTGGTGCTGGCAAAGATGTCTGAGCAACAGTTTGAGTTGATTGGAGGCGGAGAGATTCGGTCCATTTCAGAGTGCGAGAGTTGGTGACTTGGTTTTCTTTATCTGAGTTAAAGATTAACGACGAATCTTGGTCGCTGTTCAATGGCGAGACTTGAGCCGACGGAGTTCGATAAGCAGGAAGGGTGTTGGTTCTGCTGGGGGAAGACTCAGAAAGTGGTCTCGAGATCGAGGATGAGCTTAATAGCTCCGGCGGCGTATCTGAGT